ATAGCACAACCTCATACTGTTTGGGTTTTTTGCAGAGGAAGCATTTTAAAAGTTTAAAAAACGTTTTGCCCCTGGTACCTTGAAAATAAGTGCAGATCATTAAATAGAACAATCCGCACAGTTTTTTTATTTGACCCCTGTGATCTTGAATACTGGCAAAATATCATCAACCTGGGTCTTTTGGTTAACAGAAGAAGTTATTTGAAAGTGGTGTTCTTTTTAGATAATTATTACGTTTTTAGGCATCCCACACCAATTTGTTATTAATGTAATAGTGTATTTCTATATGTTTAATAAAAGGTCAAGTCGTTCAGTCGGTCTGACAAATGCAAAAAGATAAAACACAACATATAAGTTTTCATAAGGTTAACTTATTAACAGGAATTTAATCAATCTACCTGCCAAAAGTTCAAGTGTATAAATTACCTTAAAGTGTCTACAGGAGGAAAATTTATAACCGAAGCAAAGCACTTTGAAATAATCCAATTTAAGATAAGATGAAGAAGACTGATATTCCTTTTAATACATATAGTTAAGACAACTTTACTAAAAGTCCGGAAATGTCACTCGACAGTATTTTAACTAAATAACAACTGAAGTTAACACTAATTCAATTAATTCAACTAACTAATACTCTACACACTACAAACCGCTCTACTAGACTCCACACAACTCTACAGAATACTCCCGTGTCATTAATCCTCTCCATAGAATTCTTTCAATACTCCCCGTTCTCCTTTAATCTCCTCAAAAAGAGCTATCAATTTGTTATCGTTTGAATGACCTTGACAATTATTCAAACAACGTTTGGTCGAATGTGTATAAATCTTTAAATTACCTAATCTAAATAAACAGAAGGTCTAGGGTGGTGAACTTTGTCAAGTTGAATGCTGAGATGAAAGGCTATAAAGTTTGTTCAATGTAATGACCTTGTTCAACTTTCAAAGTCACAGGGGTCAAATTTGTTTAAATCCTTAACATGTTCTTTCGAATGATAAATACTGTTATTTTGCATGTAGCTTTATTCTAGTCCACTTTAAGGTAATAAGTGTGAGAAAAATACCAGGTGAGCGATACAGGCCCATTTGGCTTCTTGTTCAAGTTTAATATTGCTATTCCTATAAAATAACAAGGCAATATGTTGGGCGTTGTCTACATTGATTTTAGAAAAGCTTTTGATCTTGTTGATCACAAAATACTACTTTNATCAAAAGGTTTCATTCAAAAGTAGTTTTAGCGAACCGGCAGGTGTAGAGACAGGTGTACCTCAGGGATCAATAGCGGGACCACTCTTATTTGTCCTATATGTGAATGATTTACCCTTATATGTCAACTCATGTGATATGCACCTATACGCAGATGATACGTCAATGCATAAAGCTGACAAGGATATTTCTAAAATTGAAACGGCCTTAAATGACGATTTGGTGAATGTCTCGACTTGGTGCAAGGAAAATAAAATGGTTTTAAATGCGGAGAAAACAAAAGCTATGTTAATTTGTACAAGACAGAAAAGGAAAGCATGTGCTAACAAATTTAACGCTATTTTTAATGATACCACTCTGGAAAATGTAAAATCAGAAAAAGTTTCTTGGAGTGTGCATTGATGAACATCTGTCGTGGGATATGCAAGTTCGAGAACTTATGAAGAAAGTTGTTTTTGAAACTACACCATCTTAACAGTATTAAAATGTTTTTACCCATACCGTCCAGAATCACTTACTATAACTGTTTTATGTTTTGATACTTTGATTATAATTACTGCTCTAATATATGGGGCCACTGTACAACCAAAAGTATTCATAAACTCCAACGAATTCAAAAGACAATTGCCAGATCCATTCTTGATGCAGATTTTTCTTCACCATCTGAACATTTATTTAAAAAGTTAAATTGGTTGCCTCTTCCCGAAAGAGTGGCATATAATCTTTGGAACAGCCTATCCACTCAAACCAAATCCTCCAAATCACTTGCAGTATTTACAACCAACTGCAGAAACGATTTTAAACTACTAGTATAAAGGAAAAAAAAAATCTCTTTCGGCCTGATCTGGACATTACGACTTTCCCAATAAGCAATATACTACGATATGTAATTATGTTTCAGCAGCGTGTGTTACTATAACAGTGTGGTTGACATATGTGTTGTAATGAAATGTAGTTATATAATTAATAACTCATTTGAAAAGCAGTATAGCTTTATATATGTATACAATATATCTTTATAATGTATGTGTTTCGCATTATCTCTTATATTTATAACGTATTATCCATGTTGTACATACTTGAAAATATGTTCTCGGCCATGTGTGAGAAGAGTCTGTGACTCAACATGTTATTATCGAGTATACATAAAGTCTATTATTATTATTAGAAGAAGAAAACATGACCTTACTTTGATAGAAACCCAAAATCAGTTGCATTAAATTGTAATCAAATTTTGCCCCAATGTGCATTTACAGTTGACAAGGTTATAGATCCAACAGATAGGAGAAAAGAAGAGAAATAATGAGAAAATATCAAACGTGAAAAGAATTGAGGATATCTTGCGATGACGGGCGTTAATGGTCCCTCTGGAATCTCGTCTTCTTTTTCTCATGAGTTGTGGTCCGAAAGCCGCATGGACATTTTCTAAGGACAATCAAGTTTACAGCGATATGGTGTCGGCGTTATATACATTTTATATTTATGAAATTTGAACGGGAGTCTCAATTGCAAAATGCTCGCGAGGTCAAATGTTTGACCGACGATCGAACACTATTATTGCTATTAGAACGTCTTGGATTATTATTCCGCTTAAATCGCTAAACGGACTCACAGTTATGTATTCGGAACTAGTTAACAAATCATCGAAGATCTGGTTCAGAGTAGATTGTGAGGCAATCTCAATCACGCGCATTTATGTGTTCACTCTTATGTGATAATGGAAACAATCACTTGATTATTCCTTCAGCAGTCACCTACCCAGTCATCTATTTGTTTTGTTTTGTTTTTGTATCGGTCCATCGACTATGCAAGTCATTTAGGGCAAACAATACTTTAAAAAGAGACATTCACGAAAATAAACACATCAAACCAAGACTTACTAGCTTAAAATATGTTAAGTGTTAAAAAGAATACATCAATATCGAACAAATTGGCTGCACCATATATCATCTTTTATTGTACAGATCAATAGAGTGTAGATAGTCATATATTAATTGCACAGAAACTGTATCGAATAATCTTTTCATAGACGGTAATCATAAAAACTGTCACGTATTTGTTTGAAATCAGCGCATTCAATCATAAAGTGCTTGACTGTAAATTGTTGATCGCATGCATGACAATAAGGCTGGTCTTCCTTGCGCAAAATGTAACCATGTGTGGTGTATGGCCTATGCGGAGTCGCGAGAAGACAATTTCCTCTCTGCAGTCTGCTCTACTTTTTGCACATAAACCCACATTAGGCTTAATTGCAAATAACTTGCTGTTTAATTCTTCAGATCATTCATTTTGCCGATTTGTTTTAATCAAATTTGTTAAAGAAGGTTTAAATCAGAAAAAGGCAGTTTAATATCTTTTGGTTGTAGGTTATGGGCTGCTTTAGATGCTTTATCTACATGTACCTTTTCATTTCCGTTTATACCGACCTGACCTGGTATCCAAATCAAGATCAGGTGGCAAAACAATAAAGTTCTGTTAATACGAAGGGCGATGTTTTTTATGAGAATGTTGTTCAAATTCCGATTTTTTAATACTTTGTACTGGACGTAATTGTCTCACTATGTAGGGAAATATAGTTCGATACCAGCAGGTAAACGTCCTCTAGACGAGTAGTGTTGCTATTCAGTAATTTCTACTGTAAAAGAACATTCCTATTTTCACGCCATTTCTGGCTGATGCACCAATTCATTTATTCCTTTTTTCACCCTCATATAACCATCTCTGAGTGCTTTCAATAGTTTGATTTCCGTTTTAATGAAGAATGATCAAGACCATATCAGGCGCATAATATAATTTTATTAATCATATAAACGTATAAAGCAAATGCATTTATCCAAAGCATGTTGAAACATTTTGTATGATACATAATTAAATGTCATTACAAATTCCTTTGTAATCAGCTTTATTCTAGTGTGATAAAAATAGAATCAAATATATTATAATTCAGATAAAAATCGTATTAGATAGGTTTTGATTATGGTAATATCAATTCAATTTTCTCGTGAATAATCATCAAAAAATATTAATATGGACCATGTTCTTATAAAACGCTGTACATTTATGCACTACCGCCTGTATATACGTACGTTGAAAATATCTCTGTAACCGGTTGACGTTGCCTGTCTGCCTACACATAAAACCTACGGATTTTTTTGTAGGCTAGTCATAACAGTGGGTGTTGCTTGAGTAGTATATAATGTTACTTTGTATCCGGCAACACTGTCAGAATATATCCATGAAAACTCTACATATGATAAAATATAGCAATATACAGTAATTCATGGACACATTTAAATGATGACAATAACACTTAAGACACTATCACATATATAATTACTGTCACTTTGAAATATGTACATCTATATATTAATTACATCATTTATGGTATGAGTTCCATTTGACAACTAATGCAAGGCCGGGAAACTTTCGCCCAATCACATTTTCGCCCTTCATCGGTAACATCATTATTTTCACAAATTCATCTGGATTGTTTTATGTTCTTTTTATACTGGACAGTACTACAGAATGTCTTTACTTAACTTTAATACAGGTAGTATACCATTATATATATTAAGAATAATATGCATCCGATTCTTTTATTGACATTGGAACTATAACCGAATTTTTCGGTTTTTTTCAAATATCATGAATGAAAACCTAGACTTTGATGTATATATCGGCTAATGGTATTCATCCTGACAAAACATCTTTTAGCATAACATGGCATGTTAACTATGTTAAAATTCATATGTACAATGTTGTTTACGATGACTTTATAAAACTACAGAGCGGTATTTACATAGTAACTAAAAACAATCAGTTTATTTACGAAGATATGAACATAATAGTTGTATCTGTGTATCAAAATATGAATTACGAGTCATTTCCGTTGCCCTTTGACCCTTTATCGAATGATAAACCGGGGCATCTGTCATAGGAACTTGTATCTTGAACCCTGTACTTGTGTCCTGGTTTGGGAAGTTTTTGGTACCATCCGTCAGTAGAACTCTCAAATGCATGGATATTGAAGTCATCAGTTTGTCGAGTGTTTCTAGAAAGTGTCGGATGTAAATTGTTAAAATTTCCATTCCCGTTACTGTCCGAGGTGTCACCTCTAGCCATGCCACTTTGACCTGTCTGTTCATCGTGACTTAATCGTCTGCTACGCGTTTGTGTATCAAAATCTTTATGGGGAGCTTGAACGTCGCGAGGGTTTGAGACATCGCTGTAGTGATGACTTCCTGTCAGGTCGCTACAGGAGTGCACCTTTGCTAACACTTTACTTCCGTCACGTCTTGTACCAAACATGTTAGTACCACTACAACGAGGCACAGGGTTAAACCTGACAGACTCAACACTTTCATATTGGTTCCTATTGCTACACATGGCATGACTACTGGTTTCGTTTTGATTTGATGTCAATGCAATATCTGTGTGGTCATGTCTCCGTGTGTCTAAAGGTATGTTCTCTGTGGTTTGTTTGGTCACTTCCCGGCGTATTCTACAACATAAGCCAAACTAAATACGTATGTTTAAGGTAACATAGCTTACAAATAATATCGTACATAGGTAGGGATTTATGTATTTTTAAGGGAAGGGGAGCTTGTTTAAGAAAGTTCCAAAATCACCAAACATAGTTTTAAGAACAGTTGAATTCCTTTTTTTATCATAATTAAGGTCACTTTAATAACAATATGAGATGTAAATTTAGATTTGATAGCTCACTATAAAAAGAGAGGTGTCGTAAAGACGCTTACGAATTTCGACGCATTAAGTGCATTCGTGTGAGATACAATTGTTAGATTTGAAGTTAAAAGCTAGGATCGGTCGGGGTAACTGAAATATACATATATATCTTTTTTTTCCTAAGTTTATTTCGAAATAGTTCTTTTAAATTATTAATTATACTTTTTGAATTGTTGAACTTACAAACACGAGTCAATGTTATTCTTTCAGTTGAAAAATTCCGCAGATTTAATCAAGTGAGGAAGTTAATCGTTGAATGAATCTTTCTGTGTGGTGTAATTACTAAATTTCATTCATCTTCATACACAGGACAGCATGATACAACATGAATCGAACTAAGTGGAAAACACAACGGAATGTTATACAAATTCACCTTTTACATGTTCAACACTGTATACCTTATTAAAAGGATGATAACAATGACGAGGACGACGATGAAGGCTATAATGAGCAACCCAGCACCTCCAGCAAAATATATCCACATATCTAAAATGAAGATACAGAAACAAAAATATCAGGGTATCACAGTACACATAACGTTTACGAATAGCTAATTAATGTCTAGAGATTCCCGATCGCTGGGTTAAACCTAAATATATCTAGGTAATCTTTCTTTGTCGTGGCCAAGGATAATTTTTCTTTGTTGTTGTATTAATTTGCTTATTATTTAATTAAAAAACAAAATTAACGGCAGAACAACCCTGCCTTTATTATTATGATATGTTATTATCATCGCTACAGCGTTACCGTGTTTAATAACTCAAGGTTACATTTCCGGTGAACTAAATCGTATTTCCGGTCGTTTTAAGGTGTGTTGACAATTGTAGCAAAGTACAATCGGTATAACGCGATCCAAATGATGACACCTCCAGTTCAATATAACTTCTACAACACTTAATGTCGTATATTTATATATCCGTAACCGTAATCTTCTTTTTAAAAGCCGCAGTAAAAAGCTTAAGAACAATCGTTCACCTGACTAAATTTGTTTGTATATTTTCCATGTCAATATAGTTTGTTGGCATTCATTTGGATAAAACGCTTTTGAATGCTATTTTTACATTTAGAAATAGTTTAGACTGTTAAACAATTTAATCTGACATCAACATTTAGCGTTTGTTTCAGATAAATGTAGGTGTTATGTTTGATTTATGAATGGAACTATCCTATGTTACAATCATGACGTCAAAATACTGATGACTTCAATAAGTAGGTCATGGCATTCATAGTTGAAATGAACAAAATGTAAAATTGGTAGGGTTATAAAATAGCATTGACATAGAGTGGTAAAAAGAAAGAGAGAATGGTTTTAATGCAATGACAAATAATCAATTTCAAAACGAATATTGCATAATTTACCATTTCAGTTTGGACGCAGTAATTGGTTTGTTTAATTTCCTATTAACAGCTAAGGTAATTTAAGGACGTGCCTCCATATGTGCAGTGCATGTGTGCTTGCGTGTGTGTATGAAGGAGACAGGGTATGTTGGTGTGCTTGCCTCCGTGTAATAGCACGGATCTGATTCCGACTTGATAGTGCTATCTCACTGAAATACCATGCCGAAGGCAACCAGCACAGCATTACGCTCGGTCACATTATACTTACAACGGATGAACCAGTTGTTGCCATTCCCCTAATTGCTGAACGTTAAGCAGGGAATAACATCTAGAATTGTTAAGGACTTTGGTATGTCCCGGCCTTGGGATAGAACTAACAGCCTATGTATTTACGTTGAATCGCGTGAATATAATTACGTACAGATATGTTATAGGTATTAATATACAAAGTATTTCATAAAAATAGACGTCTTGTTATGTAGAAAGAGACTTGCCTAATTCGTTTCCATTTGACATATATTTCGAAATTGAGTCCAATAGGTTTTAGTGTTTTGTAAGGGGAACTATTGCACAAAATGTTAAATATAAACTTTATTTATTTAATAATAATTATTGTGTCGCCTACGACGGATGCCGGAAAGACACATAGGCGCTGCTTTTCCGACGGCGACGGCGGCGTCAACAATGTTAAGGTTTTGCGTTTAGCTCTGTTTCTGACAAAAGCTACACCAACAAAACCTCGATCATAGATGTAGCATGGGTAGTGGAGCCTACTGTACTAAAAACATTTCATTGATTTCTGCATTTTGTTTTGGTAAAATCCTCAAATTTCTGGACTTAGAAAAAACTCAACGTTAAGGTTTTGCGTTTAGCTCTTGCATATTAGGCTTTTTCTGACAAAGTATAAGAGCTAGACCAACCAAACCTCAATCATACAAGTATCATGGGTAGTGGAGCCTACTGCACTAAAAACATTTCATTGATTTCTGCATTTTGTTTTGGTAAAAGCCTCAAATTTCTGGACTTAGAAAAAAACTCAACGTTAAGGTTTTGCGTTTAGCTCTTGCATATTAGGCTCTTTCTGACAAAGTATAAGAGCTAGACCAACCAAACCCCAATCATACAAGTATCATGGGTAGTAGAGCATGTTATGATTTTGCGTTTAGGTCCGTTTCCTTATGTACTTGGGTCATACTCTGTAGGTGTATCATAGCTGAATGCACTACACTCTTTCCTAACATTTCATGGATTTCCCCAATTTTGAGTGGAAAACCCTCACATTTATGGACTCAAACTTAGGGCTTTTTAGCAATTTCAGAAATCACTTACAACATTTTATAATTTTGTCCGATTAACTTCAAAATTACTTTTCATGTATATTGGAGCAAATACCTATTAGGTTATCACATTGGGATATGACCTTTAATTTCAATTATCTTTAAATATATCCTAAGTATTATGTGAAATGCTTATTATATTGACAAAGCGGGACAGGCGACACATATAATTCAGCGTCATTCTTGTGAAACAAGGTTTTACAACTTATATTAATCACTCGTGTTGGCCCGGATGTTAGCACACGGGGTGTTACTGTGGGGGAAACCCCACATGGTCGGGCATGTGACTTCATACCTCTTAGGTCCAATCGGGGAACAGATCCCCGACTGTCTTGGTGAAAGGCAAGTACGCCACCCGAATATCAAGCAGATATTTAAAAGAAATAAAGATGGTGCTATATTTTATAGAATATTCGCGAAAATTAAGTTTTTTACCAATCTTTCAACGGCGCCACGTTGATTTCATGTCGGTTTCTTCGACGACATGGGGGACTAAAATCACACAATATATCTGAAAGGTGGATGCATGTTTGAATAAAAGATAACTGTTGTGCCGCTTTTGTGTCAGATAAGAAAGTAATTATGAACAAGCTAATTCGTGGAATTTATATCCCCCGCTTGCGGGACATATTGTAGGTTAACATTATTGAGATTAGGTTTAAACATGTGAGTATCGTTCTGTTGGGACATAATGTATAGCTTGAAACTTGAAGAAATAAAACCCATATACCTCATTGATTATCCGTAAATATGCACAAATCACATCGGTTGGCAAATTTAGCATGAGTTGGATGTGCATAATGTGAATTTGGTTGAAACATCTTAACAACACTACAGCAATTATCACACGAAAACCAAAGAGTGCCCGAGATGGGTGGAAAGAAAGAGGAACACAAACATTGTTATCAAGTTTGAAAAATGTTGGCTAATATTTGCAAGAGTTATTAAGCGGAAACTGCTGATAATGACGTTTTACGTTAATCAAGGAGCCATAACTCTGCCAAATGGAGTCCGAAATTAAGTGGTTGTCAAAGTTTGAAGACAATCGGATAATATTTGCGAGAAGTAATGCACATAAACGGCAGATAATTACGTTTTTCGTTATTTAAGGGGCCATAACTCCGCCAAATAAAGTCCGCTGACAGTGATCATCAAACTTGGCGCAGAGCCCTTAAGGCATTTAACACAGTGGCTAAGTTTGAAGAAAATCGGTTAATATGTGTTGTAGTTATTGCACGGAAACGAAGCGCGGAAGATAATTACGTTTTCCATTATTCAAGGGGCCATAACTCCGCGAAATAGGGGTCCGCTGGAAGTGGTCATCGAAATTGGCAGAGCCCTTAAGGCATTTAACCATGTGACCATGTGTGAAAAAATCGGTTAACATTTGGTGTAGTTAGTGCACGGAAACGAAGCGTGACAGACAGACAGACAGGCAGACAGACAAACCCAAATGAAAGCGGGGAATAATCAAAAAAGGTATGAAAAGGGTAACCATATACCTATCCCCCAACCCGCTCACTTCGACCCCCATTTCCTTCGATCTGGTTTACATACTTTATATGGTTATAATGTGTATTTAACGTCACTGTACCCAAATCGGGACACTTTTTAGATAAATATCAAGGTTCTTTATACCAAACTATCAGTTCCAAATGTTGGTTCATTTATCATATAAAGTTGATATTTCGGGCGCATGGTTCCATAAATAAAACGCGAAATACCATCAGGGTTACGTAGGCCATTGAACCGGCGTAACTGTACCCTGAAAGGGACACTTCGGGAGTTTGGCAAATATTTGGGGATAAAAGATCAATATCAGCAAAAAAGAAGACATATTTCAAATATTTTAGAGTCAAACAGGGTTATGATTTAATTTCCTCTCCAAACTAGCATAAGTTTCGATAAAATAGATTTTTGAAAATGATATCCAAATAAATAGCGTCGCACGGCACGTAAATGGGAAAAGTTTTGTTTTGGTAATTATTCTTACCTTTAAATTGTTCATATACCGATAATCAGCAGCAAATAAAGCTTACATACAGTTAAATTGTCAGAAAAAGTATTATGAAATGTAAACTGTAAACATAAAAGTACTTCTTTGCTTTGAATGACAGTTTCTTGGGTCGTTCTCCCATAAGTGTCCCGTTTTCGGTACTGTACAGTGACTGTAAGCGTTAAATATAGAGAATCGTTGACATAAATAAGCCGATATAAAACATTATCACGGTGCCTGCCTATCAATATATGCTCATGTTATCGGTCATTTACATTTTTGGTAACTTAAGTGTTACACAATTAACCAAAAGTGTGAAGAAAGTTTCAAAAATAACATGTAGTTTTGTCAAAACAATACCATTTGTGATTAGGTTCCCCACTTTACCCTCTCACATCTAAGAATGGTCTCCAAACTGACCTTAATTAACTTCATATCACGACGGCATGATCTCGAGGTATGTATAAACAAAAAAATAACCTCATCAATCATAGCCACCAGAAGGCCGTAATTGGCAGCCATTTATTGTGCTCAAACGTCATACAATGTTAGTTACACGTTTGAGCTCGTTTACAGGAACTCGCGTTTAGTTTCCACTTGGTCTAACATTTTTCTAAGTCTTTTCTTCCTGCTGAAATTTTTTTTTTGAGGTTTACACATGTGTATCACCGTTCATTGTCATTAGTGTTAACTATGTGTTTATCAGACAAAATACCAACGGATACACTCTTTCGATCTCGAGCATTACTTAAATATAGCATTATATGGCAGATATCATCGTGTTATTACTAATCTGTTTTGTTTCTGGTGGTTCCTGGTTTCACGGGTCATAGCTAACACCTGTAAACGCAGTAGTGATGTAACTGAAGTTATGATGGAAGATGACTTACAATTTATGACGGAAGATTTGGACATCTCTGATGTTTCGACAGCAGCGGAGCTTCCATTTTTGACCTTAGATCGTGTATTTTCTAATGTTGTAACATTAGGGGTGCTACCATTTGTGACCGTAGACCTGGATATTTCTGAAGCAATGGCAGTAGATGGCTCCCCGGTATCGACAGTGGTACCATTTAGTGTAACCATGGTCCTTTGCGCTGAAATATAATGATACGTTTATCAAACTGTATTGTTGGTAATATTCGCAGGTATTGATTTTGCTAACGTATAACGCCGCTGTTATGAATAATAGCGTGAAATTATATAATTACCGACAATGATAATCTCAGTGACAATTTTTGAACAGGTGATGTTCTGACCGGGACAACTGCGAAAAATAGTTTCCGTGCTTAATAAAACAATCTCATTATTGTTCAAATAAGGAGGAAGCGCATATTGCTTTGTAATTTAAATGGTGGTTGCAGCAACAACAATTATGTCCAACACCAGTAAAATGGACATCATTCACATACAACAATGGTAAATTAGAATGGCTTAACAAATATTAAGGTGCGAATATGAGCATTCTGGGAACTATCATGTATACGTTTTCTTTGTTGACATAAGCATACAAAGTGGATATGCCATTTAGATAAGGAATTTTATTTAGGTCAGCTAAGAGACCATATGGTAATACGAGGAAGAAAGCAACATCATTTTGAGGTTCACTTCACATTCATTTTGGACATTTTCTCAATGATTTTGAAGAATAAGTTGGCCTTTACTAATACTTAAATGTATTGATAAGTAATTCTGCATTATTTAGCCAAACACCTTATTTTGTGCCTGAACACATTCGGACACCATGATAAACTGAAGAATACCTTGCTTATGTTTCCGGCATAGATATGATGCTTTTTTCGAACAATTCATGTTGTGGAGATCCCAGGCTATACGATTTCGTGATATAAACACACACATCCAGTTTCTTGCATCTGTTGGTAATTCTGTATGTATATAAGTAATAAACAAGTCTCTAAAACATTAATAAGGCTGTTAGAAACATAAACAGTTCATTTTGTACTTAACAATAACTTCCATAACAGCACTTTTATAGGTTCAAATCAGCATTTCACTGAAATATCAACATTTCGTTCCTGAAACTTTTAACTATTAATCATATTTAGGAAACGTATAAGCTATATGATAGCCTGAACTAGGTGTGCTGCTATCACCATACATGTATGTAACCCAGTGTACTTTGTTCATATATTACATGTTCATGTATATGCACGTAGCCTACCTACGTATTGTGTTGTACAGTCAAGTGACCTTGACATTGTCCTGTGTTGTTATGTTATGTATTGTTTGTTTGTTTGTTTATGTTTAACGGCCCATCGACGGCTGTGGTCATTTAGGGTCATGGTGATTTATTTATTTATCTTATTTATTTTTAACAAACATGTCAGTAGCGAAGATAAAATCAGATAAAATGGTTCATTTTAAAAGCATTCGCAATGTATGTTTAAATAATAAAAAATGAAAAGGGGGTTGAAATAATACAAGAGATAACAAATAGATGATATGGAATATGTGATATATATATATAACGTCAAAAAGGGTAAGGTGGGTTAAAAGACATCAGAGTCTATACAAGAGATCCCAGAGGGATCTTGGCGCCCACCTTTGTACCATCTTCATTAGTTATTTGTCAGTTCGATCTTTTCTCTTCTTTCCTCTAATCTGTTTTATCGAGTCATGTTAACAGTAAATGCACCTTGAGATAACTTTTGATCTAAACTTAATACTGATGTGTATGAAAGCCAACCTTCAAAGTGAGTTTGTCATTTCACATATTTACTAGTACAGTACTTAATGTGAAAGAAATAGAATCGATCAATGCAATATGACAAAGATCTGTTTAGTTCTTCTTTTAATCCATTTTGCTTTTATGATCAGCCTCAAAATATAACATACACAACGAGGGATCAAGGGAAACCTACATATTAAATTTGAGAAAGATCCCTCAATTACTTCCCGAGAAATAGCGATAACAAACTTTCACTATCAGAATCCAAGATGGCTGCCTGCCGGCCATGTTGGTTATCCGATCAGGCTCAAAAAGTGCCATGCACAGCTAAGGACCAAGTGGAACCTACATATGAAATCTGAGAAAGATCCCTCTGATACTTCCCGAGAAATAGCGATAACAAACTTTCAATATCAAAATCCAAGATGGCTGCCTCCCGGCCATGTTGGTTATCCGATCAGGCTCAAAAAGTGCCATGCACAGCTAAGGACCAAGTGGAACCTACATATAAAATTTAAGAAAGATCCCTCTTGTTCTTCCGGAGAAATAGCGGTAACAAACCCATACTATCAAAATCCAAGATGGCTACCTGTCGGCCATGTTGTTTATCCGATCGATTTCAAAAGTTGCCCTGCATAGCTAAGGACCAAGTGGAACCTACATATGAAATTTGAGAAAGATCCCTCTGATACTTCCCGGGAAATAGCGATAACAAACTTTCAATATCAAAATCCAAGATGGCTGCCTGCCGGCCATGTTGGTTATCCGATCAGGCTCAAAAAATGCCATGCACAGCTAAGGACCAAGGGAACCCTACATATAAAATTTGAGAAAGATCCCTCTAGTACTTCTTGAGAAATAGCGATAACAAACTTTCACTATCAAAATCCAAGATGGCTGCCTGTCGGCCATGTTGTTATCCGATCAGTCCCTAAAGTTGCTGCCTGCACAGCTAAGGACCAAAGGGAATCTACATATTAAATTTGAGAAAGATCCCTCAATTACTTCCCGAGAAATAGCGATA